CATACAGCCCTAGAATACGGAGCTGTGAAATGTTGAGAATTACTAAGTACAAACCTGCAAACATGTAGAATTGCTCCATTATCCTCTTGGTGCACAATGTTAACATCTACTATCTCTAGTGAGAGAGAATACTACTTCTCATTTGCAGTAGAAGATACAGATAGTAGAGAAATAAAAATCTGATACTTCTGTTTTCAGACAGGAATTTAAATCACTAAGAACAAACACAACTTCAGTGAGGCAAACTGCTTTTCCTTACAGTGCAGCATCTGCAGACTTCTTTCTGCAATCTTGGCATTTCTGAGCCGAAGTTTCTCAAAGTATAAGTCTGAAACAGTGTACCTAAAGACAGAGCAGCACTAATATAGCTTACGTTTTTCATTTCCCCTGAAGATTCTATCTCCTTAGGTACTACCCAACATCTCGCAATGAAGCTGCACTGGGACTTGACAGTAATCTGTTGACACATCATAAACATCAGGTGCCTGAAGTATTATGAATGATCTGTGCTTTATCTTAAAATGCTACTAGGATTGCCTAGTACAGCAGCTATGGTGATTCCTGGCTTGAGAGCTACTGCAACACAGTCAGTCTTCTCTAGCTGTTGTTTAGCAGAAGTTGCAGCCAATGTTTTCTCTATTCACTCCCATCTTATTCCTGATATATTTACAAAGCTCTCCAAGTTGCACCACAAGTATAATAATAAATAATCTCTAGAATGATCAATGCACCTTGCATATGGAGATAGTTTTCTACACTACTGTTATGTCACATTGAGGAATTCTTTATAGAGCCTATTTATTTAAGGAAACTATTTATTTCCCTTTATTTAATCTTCTGTCTATTGTAAACCTGCAAGAAGAAACTTCAACTTGTTCACCCAGGGAAAGGCAAACTGATTAACTCAGAACTTTTTGGTAGGAGAGATATGAAAATAAATGTGTATGTTTGTGCATATTTCTTTCTCTAATGTCTGCTCTTCAAAATAAAGCAAAATCCTGTTTCTCTTTGTCAGGTGGGTATGTCAGCTTGATTTACTCACCAGAATGAGACAAACAGAATTTGTCTAGTAGCCTTTAAGGCCTAGAGTGAACAGAAATCTTTCAGCCATGCAGTTTCCAAAAACAAATAGTTTGGACCGTAAGTGATTCAAAGCTCACATTAAATTTTGAATCTGTCAATAAGTCTATATTTACATATTTTTAACTTACTTGTATTTGAAAAGACTGTTTCTAAAGTATGTTTAGAATACGATTGCTGAAGGTAAAAGAAATTAAACATGCTAAAGTTTGGCTATTCTGGCTTCCTAGTACGCTCTTCATCCATATCAACCTCACGTGCACATCAAAACACAAATGGTCTGCGGAAGTGTACTGCATCCCTGGCTATCCATCCAAAAATTTATACATATATATATAAGCATGCATGTTTAAATGATTTCATTTTATGGTAATGAGGAAGTTAATTTATTCACATACGTAACTCATTCAATCATAGCATGTAGCTGTATGCTACATAGTAGTGAGTAAACACACACAAGTTGTTAAACTGTGTGACTAATGTGTAGCAGAAGTCACTAAATGAGAGGTAAGATTACACCACTCTTACACCTATCAGGTAATATTTTCTCCAGCTGCTGGTCATTTTAGCTTAGTCTGAAACTCGTAGTCACTAAGTAACACTTTACTCCACGGGTATTCATTGACATAAATTGAGCTATTTTTAAAATAAAATACTATTAATGAGAATTAAGGCAATCATAAATTCTATCGATTTTACTAGCTCTTCCTGAGAAGCAAAAGGTGTGTTACACACTCTGAATAAGAGAAAATTTGGATCTTACTGAGAAATAAATTATTTATTTGATGTTAAATATTTATAGACTCAATTGGATATACTAAGTAATAATATAATATTTAGTATGTTTATATATATCCATATATATATATCCATATATATATATATAAAACCCATAAAGTTTTAATAACAGGCTCCTGCTAGAAATTCTGCCATTAAACACTTGTTAAGAAAATGGAAATGAAGAAAAGCAGCTCCACTGTATGAATTATACAGTGTGAGATTATTGTGGCCCAGTAATGTATCTGGAAAACTGAAGTGAATGTTCACGAGAGAAAACACTCACAAAATTGTTTACCTTTCTCTTACTGAGGTAAGGAAGAAAACTGCTTTTCTGAGTTGACTAATGACAGGACATAATAAAGCAGCTGTGTAAGTTCTCTATCTTTTTTCCACTGGCTATACCTTTGCTTCCTAACTGTGTAATTTACTTTTCCAGACACAAGTTTTCTGGAGTCATTAAGGATATAGCAGACCCAGAGAGATCTCTGATCCTTTACTATTTCACCCTAAGTTTGCAGTTTGACTTTTAACTGTGGCAGAAGTACAGGACCAGACACAAATAAGTATCTACATTCTAAATGAAAATTTTATATAAAATTTACTCCAAGGATGTGGAGATGGAGATACAAAACGTATTTTAGTAATGCAGAATTATAGTGAAGAGGATTGGATTTTCTTATCTAGCTTCTTTAAGTCTGGGCCTTTCTAAAATAGAAACAAACTACTCTGTTTCATACTGTGTATTTGTTTGTTTTGTCAATAGAACCACAAAATATAGTATCAATAAGTATGTTTGAACAGGTTGTTCACTAGGGAAAAAGTGCATGTTTCTTAAACTACCTGCTGGACCATCTAAATATCCCAAAACATTCTGTGCAGATGTTCAGGGAAAGCAAAAACAATATTAGATACACCAGTATGTGCTATGAGAAGTTAGTTAACATTTCCCACAGTTGTCGTAATGAAAACTGTTATAGAAACCACAACACACCTTTTTAAGGGAGGAAATTCCTCTTTTAGCTTTATATAGATCTCAGAAAAAAAAAAAAAAAAAAAAATCATTATTGATGTCATACAGTGAACACTGTAAAAAAAAGGAATAATATTTTCCATAGGGATTTTACACTACAATTGAATCTTTACTACTTAGTAGCATCAATACATTAATTATTTGCTTTATATAGACATTACATCATTGTAGGAAAGTATAACTTTCTGTCTTTTAGTAACTATTACACTTACCAGTAAGAAAAAAAAGTGTTTGTTGTTTTGTTTTTTTTTTAGCATTCTGACAACTCCATTTTACATTAAAAAAGTTTACATGACTTAAACAAGTGTCATTGAAAGCTGTTTGTTTTTTAAAGCATGAGCTATAAATCAAATTATCTCTTGTTGTGCCCTAACCTAAACTCTTTCCTGAAATGTCACTTTTTGTTAAAATCAATTTCAGATTTTAAGTATTGCTCCACTCACTTAATTGATAGCAACACAAATTCATGATAGGCGTAAAATGAAATTGTTTCTGTGACACAACTCAATCGCGGATTGAGGTTTAGTTCACAGTGACCTTGTACAGCCAGCCTTTTTTCCTTTTTTCCATTTTTTTTTTTTTACTTCCCGGTTATAAATATGCAATTTACAGGCCATCAGTTACTGGAATTTTGGTTAATTAACCTGCCAGTTCTCAATGGCCACTTCTGTTTAGTTTAAAACATTAGATACAACTGGCAACTAGAACATTTGGTGTTCACAGACCACAGGGTATGATAACTGAAACGTATTACAAATTTTCATCTGGTACACCAAGTGTCTGCAGTGCAACTTCTTTCCCACTAGCCACATACACAAAATGAGTCTGTGTCACTTCTGATACATTCAGCTCATTCCTCTATGACTCAGAACAGCATATCAGGAGAACCACAGGATAAAACAGATATGACATTTCAAATATGTTTAATAGCCATTATCCAGAGCCTGCTTTCAATCCAAACGTTAAAAATCACTTTGGAACATACCTATAGTATTTGAACATTAAGCTGCATTAATCATGAAGTAATACTTTAAATTAAATCAATCTGAGCCAAATTCTGCCCTCACCTTCACTCTATGAGTTCAGTGCTATGCAATACATCTTCTGAGTTTGGACTTTAAACTACCTGCTAAAAATTAAGCCATTATTTGATTATCACCCTGTATCCAATGGTCCAAATTCTACCATTCCTCACAGTCACGGAAGCCGGTAGAGAACAGTGTGGATATAACTAGCAGCAGAATGCAGCTCAGCTGTAGTTTCTAAATCAGCTTTGGTAGAAGAAAGAGCATGTAAGTCTTTTGCTATGAAGTAATCATCAGTATTGACTCAGGCTACTGGAAATCTGACTAGTTGTTTTGCTGTTTTATGATAGGATGTGAGTTTTTTTTTAACATTTGGGGGAAGGAGGGAATCACCACACACATATTCTTTCTATTTGATTAAGCAGAATTTTCAGCACTGAAGGTCTGGTTGTTTATGGGGAGAGGAGGAGGCAGTGGAGCCCCAATGATACTCTTCTGCATCAAAAAAATAAATATTTATGTATATATATTCTAAAGAAGGAAATTTAAAAAAAAAAACAACATACATCTTGGAAAGATAGCTCATATTTACAGACAAGATTGGAGGGCTATAATACACTGTTGCAATAGATGTCCTCAGTGTGTAGAGTTTCTCCCACGTCCTGTTAGTTACTGCAGGTAATATGACTGCTTCAAAAATGCCCTTCCCTATCTCCACCCCAAACCAAAGCTAAATAAAACCTGTAGAAGTGCCCACCTCTGTCTGAAAGCCTTCTGGGAAAATACTCCATCATTCCCCAAATGTACTAAATGCCTACCTGCACTCTCACATGCACCCCTTTTGCACTGGCATAATAACCCTGTTTCTGTGGGTGTCTACTTTTGAATCACATTGGGAACACTGGCGTGACAGTAGAACCAGACTCATCAGATGTGGTCTGGTTCCACTTTCATTAAGTCCACCTCTCCTTAGCGACTTCTGTTGGTCCCTTCAGTGGTGCCTTACAGCAGATTTCACTGCAGACAAAAGGTAAAGTTAAATCAGCTTCTAAAGAGAGGTCCAGGGTATTCTAAAAGTCTCCTACCTGAATTATGGACATCCGGCTCGGGGGAGCCTCGCTGGCGTTAGTCCCTTGCCCTGTGAAGCTGGTATGGCAGCCCACATGTCCCTGGGGTACAGTCAGGTTGTTGGAGGCAGGCTTCAGGTACATCACCTCAGACCTGGGAGAGCTGAGGGGCAGGCGGGTCTGGTAGTCAAAGTACATGGGTGAAGTGGCCAAGGATGGGCTGCTCACCACGTTCATGACATTGAGGGGGCCCCGGCTGTCCTCGCCTTCACTGGGCACCAGCATAATGTCATTCTTGCTGATCTTCTTCTTCTTGCCCTTACCCCCTCCACTGCCACTGCCTCCTCCTCCCCCGCCACTGCCTCCCCCTCCTCCCAGCTGAGGGTGGCTATACTCAGCAATGCGACAATTATAGGTGCGGATCTCCTTGTTCTCTCGCTTGCACTTCACAGCAATAGTGATCATGGCAGCCAGCAAAATGATGGAGACAGTGCTCAGCGTCACAATCAGGGGCAGTGACAAGTCCCAGTGTGGTCGCCGATGCTGCTCACCATTCACCTGCGGCTCCCCCCCCCCCCGCCCGGGGCCTGCCCCTC